GGATGGGCAGATAGCCACTTAATGCACAGGACGAAGGAATAGCCTTATAGTGCAATCATTCCTAAATCCACATCTGCCAGCCTCCAAGGCATAATTAACGTTATTTTATTTTATTTATAAAATTGCAGCCTGTGCAGCCCTGCCCTTGGGTGTTAAGAGAAAATGAGCGTATTATAACAAAATATTACGGAACAACAAGTTATAGCTTATACTAATTAAACATGAGAACTCATAAAACAGCCTTATTGCCAGGCTGCTGGGAGAAGAGCAAAGTCCTTTAACCACTAAGACTGGAACACGTTAGAAAGAAGAAATTGTTCCTTAGCTATTCAGGAGACATGGACACTGGTAGAGGGAAGAACTGGAGAAGGGCAAGCTTTAGTAGGAGCAAATTACTCCCAGCCAGGCTCACAAAAGGTCCCTGAGAAAGGTAATAAGCCAGTGCTGCCCCAAAGACTACAGCCAAGGTAAGGTCATATTTGATTTCTAAGATATATAGCCAAACTTTAAATCACTAACTGAAGCCTTCCCTGTTAACTTTCCTATCCGTCTTATATGATGTTATCTTTTTTATTTTCCAGAATAGGCAAAATGATATATATTTGAAACCAGGGCCTTGAGCATGCTAAGCAAGCACTCTTATCATTAAGCTACACCTCCAGCACCCCAACTATTTTTATTTTTGGTCCAGTATTATCTTAAAACTTAAATACTACTTACCTGTTTCATGTATACAAATCATAACACTAAAAATACATATTACAAATAAATGCACACATATATAAAAGTATATACATGCACCAATACATTATATACATACACTCACATATATCTGAACTTACAGGCCCTTCCAGAGTTGGAACAACACAGGGAAACATAATTTATCTACAATCCAAAGTACAGACCCAGTCCACTAGGCTTCCTTAAAATAAGAGTATACTCTAATTTTTCTTTAAGCTTCTGCAGTTTTGCATCGCTATCAAAATATTTTTGGAAATTCTGTAATGTTTCTCCTTTTCCCTTGGCTTCTTATTTCTGGCAAGGACTAAACCCCAAAATATCTTTCCTCTGGGACACTGAAATAACGGTCCCAAAGCAGCTGCTCGACTATAGCTATTCAGAGACTAGGGACAAATTTCCAAGGAAGGCCACTTGTAACTGAGTCAAAAGCCCAGCCTCCTAAGACCTTCAGAGACCAGGGGTGTGTGTGTGTGTGTGTGTGTGTGTGTGTGTGTGTGTGTGTGTGTTTTCATCTTTCTGGATCCTCTCATTCTCATTTGCAATTCTGTCTGCTATTTCACTTCTCTTTTTTCTCTCCTTTCGACTCTGCCCATCCCTCCTCTGGGTTTTATTTTAGATGTGCAGAAAGAAATCAGCCAGCCCCACTCCCAGGGCCCTGGAACCTATTTCTCCCCTCTGATTTTCCCACAGCTCCCTTCCTGTCCTGGAGCACGGCGCTGGGTTCCTGCCGTCCTTGACCACCTTCCTCAAGCTGAGAGCAACTTCGCGCCACATCTGGCCAATGAAGAGGGCCAGCGCGGGTGACAAGCACAGCTGGCTGGTGGCCTGCCCTGAGGCTGCCTGCAGACCAGCAAGGCTTGGGCCCCATTATGTGGCCCACAGGGGCCTCTTCTGCACCCGAGCCCAAGCCATGCACCTCGAACTCAGCAGTTCTCATCCCAGAGTCACTTGGGAATTGTTTTTACAAATACCTTTATCAAAAATTGTTTCCAAACAAAAACAAAAAAACCTTTGTTCAGGCCCATTGAGCTGAATCTCTGGGCCCGCGCCTGGGCGGTGCAATTTTTTAACAGCTCCCAGATGACTCTATTGTGCAGCAGGGCTAAGAACCACTTGCTGTAGATTCCGCTCGTGGAAGTTATCCAACCGCGAGCTCACTCCCTTCCTTCCAAGTGCACCCCAGGAGATTCCTCTGCCTGTTCTCACACCAGAGGTTTCTGGGAGCCAGGAAATCGAGTCAGGAGGCTTGGGAAAAGACTTAGGGTAAGAAAGGAAAAGGGCTGAAAAGAGAGGAGGTGCCAAGGTGGAAAGCGGTGTTCGAGGCTCTCTGTCCCCCCTCCTCATGTGCACTCCGCAGCTGGTGGACATAAGGCCACCACCTCTGCCAGGGCCTGACCCTCCTAGGATGTGGGGGTGCGATGCTTGCAGTGTCAGGACACCAGCTTCTCTCAGCCTGGGATGGGAGAGTGGAAAACACAAGCACTAGGGGCTTAGGAAATGAGATTGGGACACTCCGGGGAGGAGACTGAGGTCCCCGTGAGCTCCTTTGTCCAGCCAGCAAAGGACAATTTTATAACTAAGTCACAGCTATGCTGCAAGGGGTGGGATACAATAACTAGTACGATTTCACAGAGGAGCTGGAGAGGCTCGCAGCTGCTCGTGTACATGATGCGATCCATTCCTGGTCACACCAAGGCCAGGGACTGTGCTAGCAGGACGGGGCGGTGGGGGGGGGGGGCTCTCAGCCCTCCAAACTCCCATAGTCCCAACTGCTCACCACACAGTTAGGAAAGAATAAGCAAGGCCCCACTTGGAGCCCGGAGCTCAGACACACGGCCCCCTCTGGGATTTAGACACCCCTGGTTGCTTAGGCAACTGGTGGGCCCCTCCAAAGTTTCTAGGCCAGTGGCCTGCTGGGAGAGGGGCCTGCCCTGCCGCTGAGCTTCTGCTCAGAGCTTCTTGGCCATCTGCCTGCCTTCCTCTGGCACGCTGGAGTCTCTGTTGCGCTCTTGGCTTGCTCTAAGCAGGGAACGTCTCCCTGCCTCCACCCCTCTTTCCGCCTGTCTCTCTCCCCAGATGTCTCGAGGCTTATGTGGGAAAGCATGTTCTTGCAGCCTAGCAGAGACTTTCAAAGATGGCCTTCCCCTGCTGCTCTAGGAATCTGCTGCCCCAAGACAGGAGCAGACCAGCAGGGGAGTGGGGCTGCTCTGGCTTCTCTAATGGAGCAGCTGAGTGGTTCTGGGTTTCCCCTGGCACCACCCTCTGCTTCATGAGCATGCAACACTCAGGCCTTTGCCCTCGGAACAGCCACAGTTAAGGCAGGCGTGCAACATGGATGAGCTCCCGCTATGGAGGAGCAAGGGGCTTTTACATCTTCGTGTGCAATGAAAAGCCTCCTGTCATGCAACCTTGGTGCCTGCAATTTAAAGAAGCTTCGCTACCTGGAATTTTGGGTGTCTGTGTCTGTCTCTGTCTGTCTCTCTCTTACAAACTGAAGCAAGCTGGGCATGGTGGTGCATGCCTGTAATCCCACGCACTTGAGAGGCTGAGGCAGGAGGATCACCACAAGTTTACACTGCATAGCAACATCCCCATCTCAAAGAAAGAAAGAAAGAGAGAAGGAAAGAAATTCTCACAAAGACCCAAAGTGAGTGATGTCTGATAATAAACTAGCTCACTGTGCCCCACTGCTGATCCAGTGTACGTTGAGGCTTGTGTGGCCACGGCCACTCCCTCCTGCACCCAAGCCAAGAGCACAACTCCCCAGGGGCAAATGTGTGTACCTCTCAACTTTAAGAATATTTTAATGAAATGCATTTGCACTCTGATCTAATATTCAGACCCAGACACGCCTGGAATACTGACTGTGATACGGCTTTAAAACTTGCTGGGGTGATCACAGCTGGCAGTAGGAATGCCCTCCAGGCAGATCCTCCCACTGGAGGAGCTGGCAGGGAACTCCCTGCCTGGAACGAATACTCCGGCTACAGGGGCTGCTTGCCATTCTCATTTTTAGAAACCAGAAAAACACGAAATGTAGAAAGTGCTCCAGTTCGACCCATCCCACCCAGGCCCGGGCTGAGGAAAACTAGGACAGAGGCCAGGAGGGCCAGGCCAGGCTCCCAGCCCAGTCCACTCCTGTGAAAGCCAAGGACCCTGCTCTCTAGCTCAGTGTAGACTGAAGCAGCTCAGGGCACATGCGAACTGAAGTCTTTTTATACAGTTCAGCACAAAGGAAATCAGAGAATTACATCAAGGAGTCAATATAATAATCATCCCGATAATAATAATGGGATTTTTTTTTTAAACTGGGATTCCTTTTTTTTGTTTGTTTTTGTTTTAATTTTTGATACAGGGTCTCACTATGCAGTTCAAACTGGGCTTGAATTCACTATGTAGCCCAGGCTGGCCTCTAACCCACAGCTATCCTCCTGCCTCAGCCTCCCAAGTGCTGGGATCAGAGGTGTGCGCCACCACACCGCACTGCTACTGGGATTCTTGTACTACCCGTGCTACTTAAAGGCTTTACAACATTGGGCAAGTCATCTGACCTCTCTCTGTACTATAAAATGATGATCATTATGCACTGTGCCTTGGGCTCAGGCTTGTCATAAGAACCAGATGAGATCATGTGAAGGCTTTTGTGAAAATATAAATCTGATCTGAAATCCATGTAACCTATTTATTACAAAACAGATACCACACCTAAAGATTATGCCTAGCAGATAGTATCTTAGTTAGCTACTGATGACTAAATATGCAGGATCTGGTAGTATTTGCCACATGGTATTTTTCTTGGAATATTCTAAAATGTTACCGGGGGTATATAAATAGGCTCACAGCAGGAAACCAGTTATCATGGCATTTGCTGAAGTCAGTGAGCATCTACCTAGATATGTGATATAGTTTCAAGCTTCTCTAAAGGGCGCTCTGAAAAACCCAGAATGGGTGGAGCAATGATTAATTAAAATACATAAAAAGCATGTCTATTCTCATCAAATGCAGCTATCTCGATGATTTGTGAGGAGGCTGTTCAATGAGTTCGGAAAAACATTTTCCTCCAGCTCCAGCTAGCAAGATGTCAAGGCAGGAAAACACATCCTGTTCTCCTTCTTGACCCCATCGGGACGGATGACCCTAATTCTCACCACCCCATTTCCTTAGGCCATTCGCAGTGATTGAATCTCTACCCATCCCAGTGAGCCTCACACGGACAATTTTAATGCACAGTAGCACCCGTAATAGAAAGAATCATGTTGTGAAACTTCAAATTTACTTTTAATTCCATCTTTGACAGACCAAATTGAAGCCACAGGTTATGCTTTGCTATGGCCACTTAACACTAGCTGGAAATTCAGTGCCCTGCAGATTGTAAAAGTTTCCCTCTCTCTCCGTCAGATCAGACCAAGGCGTCTCGGCTTCTGTCTGGGTGGCTGTCAGTCCACAGGAACGGTTTGTCTTTACTAGGAGAAGGCTATGGAGAGGGACAGCCCGAAGCCGGCACCCCTGAGCGATCTGGAGACACAGGAGGGAGGGACGATGAGACTGTGCATTCTTTCTCCGCGCACTTGCTAAGTACTACGCAGCAGGAAGGTATTTCACAAACAATATTCACTCATTCTTAAGTGACCGGGCACCATGACACTTACTTACAAATGAAATTATCTATTTACATTTATCACTTATCCTGCAATATGTTTTCAGAGGTAGTAGCAATATCACTATTAGTTATTATCTCTATTCTCACAACAAAACCCTGAGGCACCTATGATTTCTATTTTATAGATAAGAGGCTTAAGAAGATTAGGGAACCTGCCCAAGGTTCCACAGCTACTTTGTGGCAGAGCAAATTCCAACTTAGCTAGGCATCATGGCACACACCTGCCAACACCAGCATTTGGGAGGCTGAGGCAGCAGGAGCGTCTCAAGTTCAAGGCCAGCCGGGGCTACCCAGTCTCAAAAAACGAAACAAACAAACAAAAAAAGCAAATTCCAACCCATGTGCATTCATCAGGCCCAAGTCTTTGCTCTTCATCGGTACACTCACCCGCTTTCCAGAGTCAAGCAATCTTTGGGAAGGTGAGGGTTGAATCAGTTCCTGAAGGCAGAGTATGACTTGGACTGCCTTGGACTGAGGAAGAAGAGGCAGGGTGTAACCCAAACTGCCGAGATCATATCCCCAGGACCCCAAACACAGCCCATGATGTGGAAGAAGTTCAGTATCTTCTTCATGAATGCAAGGGTGGGTGGGTAAGGAACAGCACACGTGAAGGTACAGAGACGGATATCAGAATAAACGCCAGGGAAGGGGACAGGAGAAAGTGGAAGGGGAAAGAAGCACAGAGCCAGACTCCCGCCGTGTTCATTCTGTCAGGCAGGAGCCAAGGTCATCTAAGCCAGAGGAAACCATTACACGGAAGGCAGACGGAATTCTTCAGGGAGCAGTTTGATGTAATTCTGTGAGTCATTCAGAGCGAATTCCTTAAGCTGGGCCTGTCCAGGCAAAGCTATGGTCAGCCTGGCACTGATGTGCAGGTAGGGAGAGGCGAAAGGCCAGAGTGAGCGGGGATGACTGTAGGGACTGCGACAAGGACGCAGGAACCGGCTAAGGGAGGGCCTGGGGTTCTGATTCAGAATCAAGAGGAAGTGTCCAGCATAAACTCGGGGCTTAGTCAAAGGACAAGACACATCTCTCATGACTGAATCACTGACAGGAAGAGAAGACAGCTGGTTCCTCTGTCATTTGCACAAGAGTGCTCAGATGCAGATACTTTGAAAACACTCAGCTCAGCTCCACTGCACAAATGATTGCTTTCAAAAATCTTTAGACATGGTGGCACACACCTGTAATCCCAGCACTCAGGAGGCTGAGGCAGGAGGATCGCTGTGAGTCTGAGGCCAACCTGAGCTACATAGTGAGTTCAAGGCCAGCCTGAACTACATTGTGAGACACTGTTTCAAAAAAAAGAACAAAAATTCTTTGGTCATCAGGTCAAAGGAACTGGCTACTGATCTGAACAAGTAGATAGAAGTGCTTTTAATGATCTTCATTGGACTAAGAGGGAAAAAATTAGTGTAGTTCCTTTGCCAAATTTGAGTGACCCTCTTGGTAGAAAGACTTGTGAACCATAAGGGAACCGCTGCTGTCAGGACTGTCACAGCCAGGTGGCAACTTTATTGGGAATATTGCACTCCTCTTTGAGAGAGTCCCATAAACAGCAGAGAGCAAGTACACAGAATGAATGCTTCTCTGTTTTTTGTTTTTTTTTTTCCGGTACCGGGAATCGAACTCATGACCTCACGCTTGCCAGACAGGTGCTGTTCCGTGAGCTAAATCCCCAGCCCCTAAAATATTTTCTTTTTCCCCCCCTTGGTACCGGGGATCAACTCACAACCTTGTGCTAGCCAGGCAGGCACTTATGCCACTGAGCTATATCCCCAGCCCTTAAAATTAACCTATGGAAATTTTTTTTTTTTTTTTCCGGTACCGGGAATCAAACTCACGACCTCATGCTTGCCAAACAGGTGCTGTACCGCCGAGCTAAATCCCCAGCCCAAATAAATGCTTCTCAAACAATGTGTTCACTTCACTTTCTAGAAACAGGGAGAGCTCTGACCTTAAACCTTCTACAAAGGTACAAGGTGGCTCTTTACATCTTCTAAAAAATGAGAAGTGAGGTATGGTAGCACATGCCTGTAATCCCTGCACTCTGGGACGGTGAGGCAGGAGGATTACAAGTTGAAACCCCAGCCTGGGCAACTTAGCAAGATCCTATATTAAAATAAAAAACATGAAAATAGTTGGGGATGTAGCTCAGTGTGAAGGCCCTGGGTTCAATCCCCAGTATCACACACACGCAAAATAGTAAGAATAATAACATGCCAAGAGTGACTGGAATTCTAAATATTTGTGACTTAACATCAGCACTGTATCAGTACTGTAACTATACCTTGGTCACTTATACCCACAAAAATTTTGCCTTTAAGAAATGTACCTCAGGATTCTGAGAGGCTGGTAGTATTCGTTTTTGGTGGGGAGGTCTCTCTACGTAGTTCAGGCTGGCCTTGATCTCACAGTGATCCTCCTGCCTCAGCCTCTGAGTTCTGGGATTACAGGAGTGTGCCCCCACACCCAGCTGGGGTTGGTAGTGTTCTACAAACAGAAGATGATTTGAAAGTACAGACACTGTCTACCGCCATACCACCCTGAACACACCTGATCTCGTCTGAAAGCACAGACACACAGATGTCCATTCAACACATGTTTACTATGTGCCTGCTACAACCAGATGTTGCCGGGTGGTGCACGCCTGTAATCCCAGCACGCAGGAGGATCATTGCATGTTTGAGAACAGCTTGGGCTACACAGTGAGCTCAAGGCCAGTCTGAACTACACAGCGAGACCTTGTCTCAAAAAAGACAAAAAGGCCGGATGCAGTGGCGCATGCCAATAATCCCAGCACTCGGGAGGCTGAGGCAGGAGGATCATTGAGAGTTTGAGACCAGCCTGGGATACAAAGTGAGCTCGAGGCCAGCCTGAAGTGCATAGTGAGATCCCGTCTCAAAAAGACAAAAAAAAAAAAAAAAAACCAAAAAAAAAACCCCTAAGTATTATATGAAAGTTGTGAAAATTCTCTTTGCCAGAAAAACAATCAGCTGTCCTACTATTCACCTATCAGCCTTTATCTCCCAGTTGGTATATTTATGACTTTTATCTGGACCAAAAAGAGGCTGGGAATTATGAATTGTATAAACTTGACATGTAACCAACAACAACAACTCATATTCCAGTGCATGTTGTGAAAATTGTAAAGCCCTATTCCAGAGTCCAACCCATTATAATATTTCTTAAGACTTTCAAATTCCAAACGTCTCTCCAAGGTAGATGATCTTACTGGTTGACAGGTCAGGGGTTTGACTGTGAACAGAACCCACTAGTGAGAGTTCCCCTGCAGAATGTCTTGGTTACTTTTCTCTCGTTGCTGAGACAAAATACCCAATGCCCAAAATGAAGGAAGGAAAGGTTTATGCAGCTTACACTTTGTGGAGGTTTCAGTCCATACTTGGCTGGCTCCAAGGCAGAAGAAGCAAAGCAACAAGAGCAAAGGGGGGAATGGCAGCCGAACAGCAAAGCAGCCAGAGCAAAAGGGAGGAATGGCGGCAAGCAGCCTCTCTCCCTGCCTTACGCTGCAACAGGCTACCCCCACCTAAGGGGCCTGTAGCTCTCACATTATCTCCATGCCCTCCTCTTGCACAGGCTCAGGATGTGTACAAAGTAAGCACCCTGGCTTCCTGCCGAGTCACTTAGCCAAACCTCTAGACTCCCCAAGTTGACATAATGTATCAGCCATAACACAGAGCTTTCCAGATTCCTGAACTACAGCAGGTGTCTGAGAAATCAGAAGTCCACGGCTCGTTCCTGTCACACGCGGCTTCCTAGGTCTGCTCTCTGCTACTCAGAGGCAGGGCTCAGAGACCCAGCCCCTGCCGCTTCCCAGTCCTCTCCTGCTCTCTGCCGTCCCAGCCTCCCTTCCCACTTCGCTCATCCAGCCCAGCATGGGCTGCTGAGACCAGCATGGGCCGCCCCTGTGCTTGAAAACTCATGTGAAAGGAGCTCAACTTCTGCTTTTGGGGGATTTACTGACAGTGACTTTATTTCCTTTTCTTCTATGAAGCAACTCTGTTTGCACAGAAAAACATGACCAACAAGTGACAAATCAGAAAAGCAGTGGAAATAAACCCCCCACACTTGGGCAGAACCTACTGGCAGTGTGTTGGGAGCCCCATGGGAAGACAAACAAAACAAAAACTATCTGTACAAAGAAAGAGAAGCATAGCTCAGTTGTGATTTAAAGAGGTAAGAAACAGTTCCTATCTCAGGCAAAAATGCCCCAGACCACTGGGCATGTTAAGCATTGCAGTACCAGGTTAATGTTAAATATGCTTGTTTCTTTTCCATATCTTACGAGATCCTCAACTCTAGGCCTTCATCTACAACTAGTATATCCTGTCCAAACACGCAAGAAAGTGGAAGCTTTCTTCCAGACGTTTTTCCCTTTGACCTGTCCTTGCTCAAGGTTCTGTTCATGCTTTTCTACATCCACCGAGCAAGCGTGGGTCTCATGATAGTCTCCCTTTACTGTGTAGTTGAATTAACCCGGACAAGATGAAACGACCGGAATTAGAACTCAAGGCCCCTGACTTGCTCACTGTTACCCAAGCAATTCATGAAAAGTGGAATGACTGCCTGTTTTGCAGCTTCCAACAGTACCTGACTCCCCCAACTTCTCCCTTGCAATTCCCATGGCCTGTGAGTCACACACAGGAGACCATCTCGCTGCTCCAGCGTGCATCTCTAGCCGGTGTCTCTTCTCTGTCCATCACCTGAGTGCTGCCTGTCTCCCGCGCAGGGCTGATATTCATGGTATCTAACTGGTTCGTCCTAAGCACCGGCCAACTGAAGGGACACTGGCTTCTTGTGGGTCGAGTGGGTGCAGACAGTGGGGAGGTCAGAGGACCCAGGAAGCCCTGCTTAGGGGCAGCTTCTGGGGAGAAACTGGGGAAGGGTTCAGTCTTCTGTAATCTGTGTTCTGTGTGTATAATACTTCTAGTTTATTATTCACTTTACACACCCTCAGTGCTGACAATGTACAGAGCCTAATGGGAAAAGCCAAGTTGATTAGACATGCCCTTATGTCCCACCTTATTTCTTGGTGAGGTAGGTAAGAAACGCTCATCAACAACTATAATACAAGCCAGAAAGTCATTTGTGTTTGAAGATGGGTTCAGGAAAATGAATGGGAATTGAGAAAAAGGAGAGGGGTTCCCTCTAGTTGTAAATCAGAGAGTGCTTTCTGGAGAGGGCCTGGGGTCACCAGTGCCTTCAGCTCCTTCCCATTTTGTCCACAGAGTCTGCCTATCACTCATGCCTCTCCAAGCTTCCCACCTCTAGCCTTAGTTGAGCCGGTGCTAGGACCAGGGCCCACCCTGCCATGGCGTGTGCGCCCTCCGGGTGCAGGGGCGGGCGTGAGCAAAGCTGGGCTGCCTCTGAGCACCCGAGACACCTGCTGTGCCCAGGCAGCCATCTGCTTGATCGCGTGGGCAGCATCCAGTGCCAGCTCCTCCCGGCCCTCAGTGCAGTCCCTTATGGTGCTCGGCAGGTGCCCCTTGTTCTCCGGGATGGCTGGGACCAAGGGTGGGAGAGGCCAGCCTGGGAGTGGGCCCTGGACCTGGGAGTGCTGCTCTGAGCAGGAGTGCCGGCCCTTCCCTACCTGTAGGCCAAACTCCGCCCTCCCCGCCCTCCCCACCCTCCCCAGACCATGGGGGTGGGGTGCATCCTGGTTCCTAAAAGCGACTCAGTTGAGGCTCGAGGTGGGAAAGATCTGAGAGGAATGAGTGATGCGCAGACTCCACAGGCAAAACCGAATGAGAGTTTAAAGGTTGCTTTCACCATCACCTACACTATACAAGTGTCCCTTGTTATTTTAGTTCAAGGACAGAAGTGAAGCCAGGCATGGTGGCATGTGTCTATAATCCCAGCACTCAGGAAGCTGAGGCAGGAGGATTGTTGAGAGTTCGAGGCCAGCCTGGGCTACACAGTGAGACCCTATCTCAAAACAAAACAAACGAGTAAGTAAATAAATAAATAAAATTTCAAAGGTCAGAAACTAGCAGTGTGCTTCATGGAGAGAGTGTGGCGGAGGAGTTCCAATGATCTGTCCACCTCTCCTCCTTGTAAGATGAAAGTGCACTTCCTATTTATGTAGAAATGATGTGTTGGCAGGGAGACATCACAGGAAGTGAGTGATAATTTGACTGGGCCTCCACCATAATGCAGAGAAAGAGATGCTCTGTGCTCCATG